GTCCGCACCCCAAACCATGTCCCGCCGCAAGGCCGGCTGCAAGCCCCGCCGAGTAGACCCCGAGTCCACCGCCCACACCGACGACGAGATGGAGATGGGGGACCTGGTCATAAACCTGAAGCCCGAGCCAAGTCCGTGGCCCCTACAGGACGCGGGGCTGCAGCGGGGTTCTCCAAAGGAAGGGCCCGCACCAGGCCACCTGGAGGGCGCACCCCGCTCCTGCCCTACCCTGGTGCCCGCCGCCCCTACCCACCTCGCCCTCGGCTTGCAGAACCAGTCGGCGCCCTGGACTTCTCTGGTCCCTAATCCTCAGGACCGCCAGCCCTGGACTGACAAACACCCCGATACGTTGACCTGTGGCCTCTGCCTGCAGACCTTCCCGCTGAAGGCCATCAAGGCTTTCGTGGACCATAAGAAGCAGGGCTGTCAGCCCTCTGGAGGCCCCAGCCCTTGCCCGGACTCAGAACTCGAGAACCTGAAGGCTTTGACTTGCCTCCGCTGTGGCCGACAATTCACAGAGGCCTGGAAACTGCTGCGCCATGCCCAGTGGGACCATGGACTGTCCATCTACCAGTCTCAATCTGAGGCCCCAGAGACTCCGCTGCTGGGCCAGTCAGAGGTGGCTGCAGCCATGTCAGCAGTGGTGGGGCAGGAAGTGGAGGCCAAGGGCTCCCGGGCCAACAGCCTCCCCTGGCGGAGCCCCACCTGCCCTGTGTGCAAGACCCTCATCAGCTGCTTCAGCAGCCTCAAGGTGCACATGCGCTCGCACACGGGCGAGCGGCCCTACGCCTGTGACCAATGTTCTTATGCCTGTGCCCACAGCAGCAAGCTCAACCGCCACAAGAAGACCCACCACCGGCAGCTGCAACCTCAGAGCCCCTACACGGCCAAGGCCAGTCAGGAACAGGCCTCAGCTGCGCCTCCATTTACTCTTAATATTGAAGCTGAGAATGGCACAGAATCTAACAGTTATTAAGTGAAATATTCGACTTCCCACCATGCACTGAATTTCCAAGTGTCTCACCATAGGCTACACTGAGAACTCTGATGATCTGACCTCGGATTTAGAGAGAATGGCTGCATAAAGTGGTTTTAGTACCAAATTTCCTGGAAGCTCTGTCAGTTAATCTAATATAAATAAGTCCTTGTAGGTCACTGATTTTTTTGACGAGCTTGACAAGATACAAGCCCTGGTGGAAAACGAAATTCCAAGCAGCCACAGCCAGGCCGGGGCACGCGGCAGCCCTCTGCTGTCCATCTTCTTACTGGAAACTAAAGGTCTCAGGCACAGGCAGCAGGACCCTGGAAAGCAAGCTGCTTTCTTTCTTTTTTGTTTGTTTGTTTGTTTCTGCTTGTTTGTTTTAACCATGTAAAAAATGAGAAATATTTATTTCTTTACACTTGGTTATATTCCAATATTTAAGCTAAAAATTCTGGCTGCTTTCTTATTTATTTATTTGTTTGTTTGTTTGTTTGTTTATTGTTTAAAGTATTACAAATAGTAGTACATATGTCTCCTTTTTTCCCCAATTGACCTTATATTCAATGTTCACCTCCCGCTGTGAGAACCTGCTTCCCGCACCACTGTCTCTAGGCTGTGAGGGTCTCACTCCCTCCTTCCACTCTTGGAAAACAGGAAGAGGGGGAGCAGAGCAACACAGAAGTCCCCTCCCAGGGGCTACCATATTTGAGCACCCCCTCACCACGTGCCTACTGGGGTGCTGTATATCCCTTTTCTTACTTCATGCCCAAAGCACACATTTTACAGGCACCTAAAGAACAAAGGGGTTAATACCTCCCCAAGTCCCACAGCCAGGCAGTGGCACCCAGGTCCCTCTGACTCCCTTTGACACAGATGCAGTGGAGGTGCCTGGGGGTGACCTGCCAGGAGCCAAGTCCCAGACCAAACCACCAGGGGCCCTGAGACTCAGAGCCTGTCCTCTGTGTGCCAGTGCCCACCTCTGGGTGACAGCCAGGGAGGCACCCCCCTGCCCACCAAAACAAAACCCAGAAACTGCACAGATCTGAAGGTCCCTTCAGCACGCAGTGGGTCCAACGGGATGGGGTCAGGCCAATCTGGATCCAGCTCAGCCCTTTCCCTGCAGTGGGGTTTCCGGGGAGCATCCTACTTACTGCCTTTAAAAATGGGGCTGAGAAGACCTGCCTTGCGGGGCTGTGGGCAGATAGAAGGCTCCAGAGTTAGGAGCCTGAAGTGGAGCCCTGGCCAACACCTGAAAGAGAAGGCCCAGCATGGCTTTCTTTCCACCCCACCTGCATGTTAGATGTTTTTTAAAAAGAAAGTTATAGCAACATTTTCTTTGTTACTAACCTGCCAGGGTTTTTAAGGACACAGTTGGCTCGCACAGAGGCGTTGGGAAAAGTGAGTGGCCTGGTTTTACTTTATATTTATGAAACTAGGAGACAAAACAGCTTTTTCTCAAAGTCTGCACTCGATCCAGTAGAAAGAAAGAGGGGGGGAGGGGAGGAAGGAGGATCAGGCTTTGCAGTTGAGAAGTCAAAAGAGATCTGTGATGAGCTGGGCCCGTAGAAAACTAAAGAAAAGGGATTACACGGTCTTCATTTGCTGTGGAGAATAGCACTCACTGCTGTGGCCTAAATTACCCAGAGACTTGAATGGGAAACCAACTCTCCAGCTCATCTCAGAGCCCGGGAACAGAACCATGTCCCCTCCCGCCCATGAATGGCTGCTAGGGTGCCACCCATGATTCTAACAACGAGAAATGATCATGTGTATGAAGAGTAATTATCAAAGGCCCAGGGCAAGGAGTGTGGGCAGGTGAACAACCCCAACCTAGGGCCAGAGGAAACAACTGAGCTGGGTGAGCAGGCTGGCCAGGGGGACGCACGGGGACGGCTCTTTGCGGGAAGCAGGCGGCTGCTGCATCCATCTCACTGAAACTGCTCCACGTTTGCATCAGGAAACAGTGGGGTCATTTTTTAAAGCCAAAATCATCTGAGTAGTCAGCTTGGATGGAAGCCCCTCCTTCAGCCAGGCACAGAGTCTCTCAAGACCCCGGATTTCATGTGTGGTCACTCATAGCTTCAACCAGCCAGTAACTCCAGAGGGTTAAGTCTTTCCCTCAGATCTAAAACTAAAGGACTTTGCGAAACTGGGATGGCATGTGCTGTGTGGGGAAGTGAGATATCCATTTCTGAACGCAGTGAAAGAGGACACTCTGGGGCCTGGGAGGCCCCGGGCGAGCTGTGGGGAACATTCCCACAATCTGCAGTGGCCCGTGAACATTCCCACAATTCCTCGTGGCTGCCACCCCAAGCAGCCTGCACAAGTGAACCCTCTGAAAGCCACAGGGGTTCAAGGAGGCAGTCGTGTCTGCATAAAATCCTGAAATATCTGAAAGCCTTTGTAAACAATTGTGTGAATTTAAAAGGAAAGAAATATTCTATCTTCTGTAAAAACCTTGATTGAGATACATGGCCAAGAGTGAGGACCTCTTGGTTTAAAGCCATATTTCTCCTCCTGCACCTCTCGGTTGCAATCCAGAGGCAGCTGGGAGCCAGATGTGACTGTAGGTGGCATCAGTAGGGGTCCTGTGGCTTTAAGAAGACACCTAGGGCCCTGAAGAGAGGGTAGAGAGAGTCAACCTCCAGGAGACTTCTTATCAGAGCAGTTGGGTGGGACACACCCCTCACTCAGACCCAGGAGGTAGCTTCAGGTTTATGGTGGCCTCATCTTGGGGGCCCAGCAAGCAGGGCCACCAAAAAGAAAAGCCTGACATCTTCTATGTCATTCAATGCATTTGAGTTGTCAACATGGGAAGAATCAGAGGGTCTGTCCCTTGAGCAGTTTAAAATTGTACATGGGCCCTGGCTGTTGTGGCTCAGTTAGTTGGAGCATCATCCTGTGCACCAAAGGGTAGCGGGTTCAATTCCCAGTTAGGGCACAATTCCCAGTCAGGGCCTGGGTTGCAGATTTGATCCCTGTTCAGGCAATGGACAGGAGGCAACCGATTGATGTTTCTCTCTCACTCTCACTCTCTCACTCTTTCTCTCTCTCTCTCCTCCTTCCTCTCTCTAAAATCAATAAAAATCATATCCTTGGATCAGGAAAAAATAAAATAAAGCTGTAAAACTATATATGGGTGGTGGCTGAATCCTAAGGGGGTCTGACCAGTCCTGAGGTGCATGGAATCAGGGCGGGTGGAGAGAAGCATGACCTGGGTTATGCGTACTGCAGTGAGGGCCAGAGGATCACCAGCCAAAGAGAAAGAAGGAAAGAAAGAAAGAAAGAAAGAAAGAAAGAAAGAAAGAAAGAAAGAAAGAAAGAAAGAAAGAAAGGAAGGAAGGAAGGAAGACCGAAGCCACCAAGCACACTGCTCTCTGGCTCATCAGTGTGCACTGCCACTGGCCACTTGCCCCTAAGTCCCATGGGCCACCCCGTTTTGGTCTGCGGAGGGTCCACACCTGAGCAGAAAGGAGTTAGTAAAGCAGGCCCGAGGCTGCTCTGCTTGGAAGGCTGCTTAGCAAGGTTGACCCTTGTCTGGCATCTGGAACTGGATTTCTCAGGAGAGTTCCTACCATTCCCTGAACTAATAGAGCAGCTCACGGTGCCTGAACTGTGTGTAAGCAACATGGCTTATGGGAGCTTTCCTCCTGGGGGGCTCGGATTAACACCCCACCCCTCCTGGTCATTGACAGAAGACACCCACCCCTCATGGTCATTGACAGAAGACACCCAACCCTTCTGGTCCAGGACAGAAGATACCCAACCCCTTCTGATCCAGGACAGAGGACACCCACCCCTCCAGGTAATTGACAGAGGACAGCCACCCCTCATGGTCATTGACAGAGGACACCCACCACTCATGGTCCAGGACAGAAGACATTCAACCCCTTCTGATCCAGGACAGAGGACACCCAGCACCAAAGGTTGCTTCCCTTTTGAAGCCTGTGTTTAGACTCTGACCTCTTAGACGCACTCAACCCCTCCTGCAAGCAGCCCCAACGGTACCTGCTCTCCCAGGCCTCAGAAGCCCTTCCCACCCACACAGAGCTTCAGGGTTCCTTGTGGGGTGTCTAGAGGATGTCCACGATAAAACTGCAGGTTCCAGGTAAGTACCAACCACCTTCCCAACACTGGTCCCACGATGCTGGCCTGTGCCTCTCCACACCCAGCCCCACTGCTTCCTCTGGCCATGCACTCAGTGGGGCTCCAGGTTTGCACCAGATATGTGGCCACGGTGAGGGGCTCCACCCCTCCCCAGCTACAGGCTCACAGCATACATGTTAACACCATAACCCAGAATATTCATCCCAGAGCATGGTTGGCATATAGTAATAGGAGGGAATTGTCTCCGGGAGGTTCTGGCAGAAATTCTAGAAGGGACCTTGAGTCCACAGCTGGGGCGACTGGCTGGCACTCCAGGTAGAGGCAAGGTGGGGAGGGGTGCCAGCCATGTTCTGGGATGATCCTAAAAGGGTTTTTAATTCCATGAATTGTCTCATGGGGATGAGGAAAGGACCCCATCTAAGGGAGCCCTAGACCTGACATGGCTGCACTGGCTAAGCTAATTATGGGGAAAGGAACAATAATGAAATAAAAAGGGTTGAATTCCATTTCTCCTCCACGTTATGCAGACCAGAGCTTCCAGCCCCAACTAACTGGTGAGGTCCAAGAGGAAGCCATGACCCCCACAGCCATGACCCCCACAAAAAGGAATGTATTTTAGACTCTGAATTGCTCCAGAATTGCTCTCCACTGGACTATCTAGAATATTATAAATCTGTGTATATATATTTGGGTTTATACATGTATACAATCTGGAAAACTATTCCAGAAACCAGGATCTTCCAAGTGCTTTACATAGGTTAAAGGGGAAAGAAACTTTCATCATCTAGAAACGCCGCCAGGCCCTCAGGTGAGCCAGGAAGCAGATTGGAGCTGCCCAGGCGCCCTCTCTCATCTGTGGACATTCATGTCCAGAACACGGCTGGCAC